TGTTTGTCTTAGTATCTCCTTTGCCAAGTTAACTTGCTGTGCAGAGCTGACAAACTGCTTCATCCTCTTGCCTCTGTTTCACCCATAAAATGAAAATGGTGGGGATTAGTTTCATCCCTTGTGGTGCTGAGAGGTTCAGCTAATTTTGGAAGTGTTAATTGCTTGAGCAGTATAGAAGAATTAACTAAAGTTCTGTGGTGAAAATTTGTTTCTTTGCAGAGCTTTTGAACCAAAAGATTACTTGAGTGTCTGTAAAAGCTTTAGAATAAGTACATTTAGTAACAGTTCAAAGGTTTCTTTGACAGTATGTCCGTAAATGTTGGCAAGATGCTGGCAGATTCTAGGAGATGGAAAAATACACTGGAAGATACAAAATTGGAAATACCGGTTATACAATTTAAACACTACAAATTGAATCTCACTGTGTAACTAGTGGTTGGCTAGTGACTGAAATTCTTCAGAGATCTTTGAGGATACAGTGTTGATGTTTGTGCACAATTGTTGCTGTAATGGATCGGTGATTTATCTCTCCAGTGGCTTAGGGAATCGGTTTAACATTGCAGTGGTAATTTTGGGAGAAGCTGTGTTGCCTTGCTTGATGGTAGCAGTACTTGCAGAGCTTTTTACCATCCTGCTTACATGGGTGTTCACAGAAGAAAGCAGAAACAGTGACAAATATTTAAGTAACTGTTAAAGGCAATCTGAAGACAGCATTTGATCTGAAAATGTTTGTGTGGTGACATAAGGAGAAAATAAATTAATATTAGCTGAAGGAAAGACAGGGCTGAAAAATTGGCTGGTACTTTGGCTAAGTGAAAACAGAAGGGTGTGTAGCAATGAATTTCCTCATTCTTAGTTGTGCTGAATAAAGATGATGGAAAATTTTCAGTGAGTCCTGTGACTGAGCACTGAATTGGATTCTTAATAGCATATGGTGTCTGGATGCAGCCTGGACAGCTTGGTGGAGCATGGACCTAAGGGAGGCTGATGTGCCTCCATAGATCAACCCTGATAACCCTCACATCGTGTGCCATGTGAGACAGCAGGCAGCCAACTTCACCTCTGATTCAGGCATGGCACACATACAATGTTCTTGTAGCTGGAGTTTCAGATTGTATTTAAACTGCACCCATTGGACCTTTCTAGGAAGAAATCAAAGGCAATGTGTATATTCCATGCTGATTTTCTGGCACTGACTGTGGACTTTCCAGAGTAGTAAATTTCAGGCTGGGTCCAGTGTGCAAAGCATTTGCTCTTTTACTTTGTGAGTACATATCTGCTTTATGGGGCAGAGAAAACTCAAGCTTTCTTACCTGGTGCCTTGCTCTAGACCACGTTTGGATCTGTTAAATTTGGATGTTACACGAATCTGGATGTCAGTATAAGTACGGGCTGTGCAGCAGGGACATAGCCACAGGATTCCAACAGGAGAGAGATCTGTTATCAAATGCAAACCCATGGTTAGAAAGTTACGTGGTCCAAACCTTGTATCATGTCCCAGTACCATTATTGTTAATGGATTCACATGTTTTAGACCAAAGCTATACACCAGTAATGGAATAACAGAGGAATGATGGGGAAAAGAGGCAATTCAAGAGCATTTATATGGTTACAATAGTGACCAAATAGCTGTCTAGTAAGCAGTGAGGATGTATGTACATATCAAAGGTTTCAGTATCAGGCTGGAATGGAAGAAGAGAATTTCACTGTTCTCCCGTGACTGAGCAGTTGCTGATAGGCACCAGTGCTGTTGGTCCTGAGTCATGCTGGTCCCCTCATGCTGCTAAACAGGAACCTTACTTGCTGCATGTTGTCGTTACTGTTTAGTGTCACCAACAGCATCTTACAAAATGTGATGGAGTCAAAACTGGAAAAGTAATTTAACAATTATTTCTTTTGTATGTTGTTGAGTCTCGTGTGATCGCAGACTTTGTACACTTGTAGTGTGGCTTGTTCCTAGTGAAAACACTTGAGATTTGTTTGTTTAGACTCAGTATTTTAAAAAATGAAAATGAGCCTAATCATTTGCCTGCTGGGAGAAACTTCCAGCCTTGGCTCTTTGCTTCCTCTGACTCCTGAGGGGACAGACTTTTACTCCAGAACTAGACTCGGAGGTCTTGGTGAGTGTCAAATGAGCCCAGCAGTGACTCAGACCTGAGAGAGGATGGTCGTGGCGTCCTCAAGAACTAGGTAACACAGTGCTGTGGGAGCAGAGGGAAGGAACTTCTTTGCTGACCCTTTTTTTGATCAATTCATAGACTGTATGCCATGTAGTGAAAGATGATTAAATCTGTCTTGACTTGTATAATTACAATGTCACTGAGTATAAATTTGCTTTACAATGCACTTTCTGGTTGGGTCTCTGCCGTCTGGTTTTGCTCTTCACTGGGTGTCTTTGCTTTTGTCAAGTGCTTTCATTACTGATTTTCAACTTCATCGGCACAAAATTCAGATGACCCTTTGCTGTTTTCAGGAGAGTTTGACCTGTATGCTTTTAATTTTAACTACCTGGATAATCTCTCTGCTTTATAGAATATATTGCACTGGTTCTACAGTTTTTCTTTCTAAGTTCCTTTTGCTTAGGATTGACCTCAGTGCCCTGCTGATGGGTTAGACATTTTTAAGGTTTTATAAAAACCTTAATGATTTGTTGAATGCCTGTGGGGGGTTGACCCTGGTTGGATGCCGGATGCCCACCAAAGCTGCTCTATCACTCCCCCTCCTCAACTCGACAAGGGAGAGAGAATATAACGAAAGGCTCGTGGATTGAGATAAGGACAGGGAGAGATCACTCAGCATTTACCATCATGAGCAAAACAGACTTGACTTGGAGAAATTAATTTAATTTATTGCCAATCAAATGAGAGTAGGGTAATGAGAAATAAAACTAAATCTTAAAACACCTTCCCCCCACCCCTCCCTTGTTCCTGGGCTCAACTTTACTCCTGAATTTTCCACCTCCTCTCACCAAGCAGTGTAGGGAGACGGGGAACGGGGGTTGCGTTCAGTTCATCACATGTCATTTCTGCTGCTCCTTCCTTCTCACACTCTTCCCCTGCTCTAGTGTGGGGTCCCTCGCACAGGAGACAGTCCTCCATGAACTTCTCCAACACAAGTCCTTCCCATGAGCTGTAGTTCTTCAAGATCTTCTCCAGCGTGGGTCCTTTCCATGTGGTGCAGTCCCTCGGGAACAGACTGCTCCAGTGTGGGTCCCCCATTGGGCCACAGATCCTGCCAGGAACATGCTTGAGCGGGGTCACAATCTCCTTCGGGCATCCACCTGCTCCGGCGTGGGGTCCTCCATGGGCTACAGGTGGATATTTGCTGCACCATGGACCTCCATGGGCTGCAGGGGGACAGCCTGCCTCACCATGGTCTGCACCATGGGCTGCAGGAGAATCTCTGCTCTGGCACCTGGAGCACCTCCTCCCCCTCCTTCTTCAACTGACTTTCGGGTCTCACATATTCTCACTCCTCTCTTCTGGCTGCTGTTGTGCAGCAGTTTTTTTCCCCTTTTCTTAAATATGTTATCCCAGAGGTGCTACCACTGTTGCTGATGGGCTCATCTTGGAGCCAGCTGGCATTGGCTCTCTTGCACACAAGTGAAGCTTCTAGCAGCTTCTCACCCTTGTAGCCCCTCTACTACCACTACCCTTGTAGCCCCTCTACTACCACAGCTGTGCCATGTAAACCCAGTACGATGGCTAATATTCAGTACATTCTGTATTTCCTGCCTGGTTTTGTGTATGTGTCTTGTTTTCAAATTAATTAATAATTTTTATCAGATTGACCAGAATAACTCCCCAAAATAAAACTCGTATTTGTCAGGTTCATAAACCACTATGTACTTTAAAGATGTCAGTTGTCCATACCTTCTTTTAAATGTATCTGCAGTCTCACTGCTGTTACAGATTTCACAGGTGTTCAGTTAGCATCTATATTTTTCTTACGAAATATACAAACTTAGTTTGGTTAAGGTATTTAATGTTCACTCAAACGGTGAAATATTTTTCCTTGCTGAATATTGAAGCATGTTTTAATGTAGCTAATGTATTTTGGGATATTCTTAAATGTTTTCAGAGTTCTGTAAATTATGTGATAATTCAATAAGGTGTGCTCTTGCACACCTAGGAATAATCAATTTTTTTTTTTTAAATAGAAAATGCAAAAATCATGAGGTTTTTTTGGTGAAAATGATGGAAGTTCAGACTTACTCAACACATTTTATGAATGGATGCTGTGGTAGGCATGCAAGACAAATAATCTTTTTGCTCTTGGCAGAATTTCTTTTCTGAACTCACTGTAGTGATTTTAAAATAGTTATAATTTAATCAACATTAAACTGACATAAACTGTTAGTTTTGCCTGAAAGGCAGTTTGGTTCACTACTGGCTGCTCGCTGCTGTTATTTAGCTGGATGGTGGAATTGCATTTGTTGGCTGTGGTGACAGTTTATGCTGCTTTAAAACGTTCATGAAATTGCAGCTTTCAAAGCATGCAGCCTGATTCTTGCCAGTGACTGGAGACATCTGGAGACATCTTCTGCAGTATATGTCTTACCTGTTCATTTTAGAATGGGATTGTTCTGGGGGATGCCCTTGCTCACCACTGATGAGAGCAGACTAAATGCTTAGTTTTGCAGTAGGTAACAGTGGGTAAGGTGACTCTCATCCTTTTGCAATATGGATATCTTTTCTCTTTTGCTTTATGTTGTATTCACTTGCAAAATGATCTAAACCATCAGTATTTTGATGACACAAAGTTGTTTTTCTTAATGAAAAGCTGTAGTGTTTGGCCCTGATAATAACGATAATGAGGCAGTGTACCACTTTAAAGAGAGAATTTCCTGTACAAACTTGTGCTGTGCGTGTCTGCCTAAATCAGCTTTATAGTTAGAAACACATGTAAACCTCATGACATGGGAAGTTTAAGTCATGTTTTGCTTCTAAACTATAAGTTTGTTTCTAACACTAATGTAGTGTTAACTCTGTTGTACAGACATGGAAGTAATGAAGCCTTTAATTGATGAACAAAATTCGGATGGCATCTCAGATGAAGAGCATGAAAACAATTTCCTGCCAGTTGAGAAGCATTACCAGCTTGATGATGAAGAAGGCATTACGTATGTATTACTCTTAAGTATCAACTTGTTGGAATTTGTTGCCTCCGACTTGTTTCTCATGAGTGTTTAACTGAACTTTTAAAAGGTTTTCTTGCACCTGTGGTACAGGTTTGTGAATATACATCAGGAATTTACATCTGCCAAAAAGCCATCCATTTTGAGTAGTTTTTCTCTTCTTTGGAAGCTAACACTATACTGACCATAATATATTCCAGGATGCCCATTAGTAAATGATTGAGTCACTCAAAATCCAAGCAATGTTTAAAGAAGGTTTTGATTGATTTTATTTTTTTTGTAAAGAAACTTTAGAAGTCTTTGGAAAGAACCTGTTGGTTGAAGTTTAATTAGAAGAACTTGTAAAGGTGTTTTTTTTTCTTTTGATAAGGCTTTGGCTGTCAGACTTGTGGTTTGAAACTGGTAATTGTTTTGAATGTTATTGACTCTAAAATAACATTGATAAAAATTGGTAGTTTTGACTCTGAGGCAAAAGGACAATAAACTTACACAGAAAATAACCTTTCACAAGCTGGACGAAGGAACTGAAGATCAGACTTGTATGTTCTATTTGAGGGAGCTCACATGTGAAGATGAATAAGGACATTATTTGAATGTGCTGGGCATTCTTTAAAGTAGCTGGATATTAAAGTAGTTGAAGCTCACAATTTATCCCTTTATTAGTAAGTGATAGAGGATGTGGTTTTGTTTTTTCTTCCCCTCCCCCCCCCAGTCTTAATGTACTTTTTGTATTTTTATCTTCAGGTTTATACAAACACTTACACATCTCCTCAAGGGAAACATTGGAACTGGGCTTCTTGGTCTTCCTCTTGCAATAAAAAATGCTGGCATTGTGGTAAGAATTCAACTATTTTTCATACATTAGAAAAAATATCTAGAAAGATCTACAGATACATGTCTGAGCCTGAAAAATTAAAAACTCCATAATTTTTGTTTGTCACTACCAACTTCAATAGAGTTAGGTTCTATTTTTCCTCTTTAGTCTACTGAAGCTAGTACTGAAGATTGAGATTTATTTTTTTTTAAAGTTACTATACTCTGAAGACTTTGTAGCTTGTGCTGTTTTTTTGCTTAGCCAAAGTGTTCTGGACAAAAAAACTCCTATGATGTCTCATGGGAATTGTTATTATGGGATTGTCTGATCTTTTTCCAAACTTCTCTAGAACTAGATTGTAAGTCCTAGGATGCAGCATCAGCTTGTTAAATCAATCTTGTGTTTCTGCAGAAACAGGGTATAGCAGAGCTTGTTTATACTGGGTAACAAACAATGCACAATGCATTTCCTAAGGCAGGGTAAATTTAATCAAGTGAAATTTTCATTTTATGACTAAATACCCCTGTAATTCTTTATTACAGGATGTTTAATTTAAGAATGAAAGTTACATGTGAAAAGCAAGTACCTTCTGTGAAAAGTTTTGGTCAAACTTCTACTCTGAAACAAATTAAATAATTTGAAAATTATCTATAACTTGTAATGGTAAAAGTTATCGGAGTTGGGTGTGTTGGTTTTTGGTTTTTTTTTTTTTTAAATGAATACTGCACATTATCAAGTCTAGTCATGTAAGGGAAAGAAAGCTTTATTGTCATTGCCACTTTAAAGCAGTTTAAACCACTGGTTTGAACGGTGTGCTATATGAAGTCTTCTATTTTTGGCAAATATCTTAATGAAACAGAGGAGTGAAGCTGTTCATGCCCATTTGGTATTTATGGTTTGATCGCCCCTGAGTAGCCTTCGGTTAAGTAATGAACTAAAAATAAGGAATACTGTAAAACACGAACAGGAAATCTCTCTCTAAGAGGGGGAAAAAAAAAATCCAGTTGCATAAAATTTTTAGTTCTTAATTTATTTGCTACAATGTGAAATTTTTATATGTAAAGATTTTCCTCCAACATATTTTAATGAAAAATTCTGTTTATCTCCCATGTCCTCCCCTTTTCCTTTTCCCATACCAGATTGGACCAATCAGCCTTGTGTTCATAGGAGTTATATCTGTTCATTGTATGCACATCTTGGTACGTTGCAGCCACTGTTTATGTCAGAGGTAAATGTGGAACTACTCATTCTGATGCTGAGTTTGAATATTACTTTTTTCTTTCTTCTTTTCTATTTCTCATTTTTTGCCTACAGAATGTCCTGATACTGTAGCAGTTTCTTCTCTTCAGTTCAGAATCTTGTACTTGAAAGAAACAACACTCAAATTCTTATGCAACTAGAAATGATAGCTATACTTTATGCTTTAATACACTGAAAAAATATTTGTTCTCTGCTTATACACAAAATTAAGTTGGTTTAACTTGTGTTGCCTGGTATCCCCTATCTCTTTGCTGGCAAATAATCAGGTCTTTCTCATTACAGTTTTAATTGCTTAGCTTCAGTCAATTAGTCCTTCTTTATCTTCATAGCTTTCTTCATAGCTTCTGAAATCTTTATAGCTTTGAAAAGTGGCCAATTTATAAGTAACCATTTTATAAGTACTTTATAGGAGTAAACGATAAAAGACTTTAACAACAATTGTTAGTTTGTGATTATGTGTGAGCTCTGTCTCTTTGGATTGTGACAACTTGATTCTTTGAAATTGTAGTGCTGAAGTAATGTGTTAAAATGATGCTAGTGAGCAGATAAACACTAGATACTCCTCCGAGTGAGGTGTACAATGGTGGAGGGAAGCAGTTATTAAAATTTGACTGATAGAGTATTTTGATTAATAATGACTTTTATTGAACGTTTTTATCTTGCTGTCAGATGTTAAAGAGAAGCAGTGGGAGGGCCTCGTATTTAAAAAGTACAATGAAGATTTTTAACTGAATAGAAACACAAAACTGTTCATGTCCCTGTAGCTGGAAAAACTACCTTACCAGTTTAATGTGATCTTGTTCTGTGAAGGGATCCTGTCGTTCCTGACTGCTTTGCTTTTTCCTCTGAAGTTTTGAATGGCCTTTGAAGATGCACATAAAAATAAGATCACTGAAATAATTGCGATTTACTGCTTGTCCAGGAAAATCTGCTGAATCCTGTTGACGTTCTTTGTGACTTTTAGGTCTTAAGACAGTATTATAAGAATCTAGTTTTGGATTAATTTATGGAGAAAGTTGTTCTCAAAGAAACTAATTTAGTACTGTTAAATTAGGGGGAAGCAGCATAGTTCACATGCTTGTAGAGTGCTGAATAGCCCTTCCTGGGGGAAAGAATCATAGAATCAAAGAAAAAAGAAAGAAGCTCAAACCATACCTCTAAAATTCAGCAGCCGCAGAATAGTGCCACAGGTGATTACTTATTATAATCCTGGGAGGCCACCAGCATTTTCAGGGTAGGGATCTAGAGTCTCATAGTTTCTAGTAACTCCGTTCTTTCTTTGCTCTTTGATTTCAGGATGAAAAAATCCTCTCTGGGGTATAGCGATACAGTTAGTTACTCCATGGAAGTGGGACCTCTGGCTGCTCTTCAGAAACGAGCTGCTTGGGGACGGTAAGTTTGCATTAGAATTTAATTTAATAACTTTGTTGTTAAAAACTAATGGCTACACTTGGAATAGGTAGGAGATTTCCTTTTTACTAAGATATTCTCTGCTTTAAGAATGTGTTCTCCATGCTTGAAATATGTGGTCTTATTTATTATTTCCCGCAGCCAGCTAGTAGTGGTGACATGGGAGGAATGGGGAGTGTCTCTCTCTGTTAGATATTTCAATTTCCAGGTCTACAAGACGTGTTTTACTATAAAAACATTTATCTGCATCAGAGTTCACTCTTTAAGCAGGTTGACACTGCAAATGTGAATTACTTCAATATATTTATTCTGAAAGGAAGCAAAACAATTCTTTGATTCCTGTTTAAATACATCATACAAATAATGGAGAAATATTTACTGTGTTTTGCAATAATGACACGCAGATATTAATGGCTTGTTGTCTCTCTTAAATACCTTATTCCTCTTTTTTAAAAGACTGTTATTTTTTCTTTGCCATTTGCTGCTGTATAGCTGTTTATGGAGTTTATGGTATGACTACACAGTAGTGAAACTCAAGAACTCGGACGTTATTCAACATTAATTTAAAGTGGGTTTTTTTCCTCAATTGAGGAAGAATTTTCTTTGGCCCTGTTATTTTTTCAAGGATGCAGCATCTTGCATCATGTGTTCTGGCTACTACTTTGTTTCAGATAAGAAAAAGGTGAGCTAGTCTTTTAAGGTCTTTTCTGATGATTTCATAGGAATAGAGTAGAGCTTATTTAGAGGGGAAAATTGGTTTGTAGTGAAATATAATGACAATTCTGTAATACACCAAAGAGTTACAAGCCACAAATGGCAATTTGATTTCCAGAGACACTGTACTGCAGCAAATCCGTCCTCCGAGGCAGATCTCTGCTATATGCCTGATTCTAGCAGAGTTTCGTTAGTGTGTCTTCAGGCCACCATTGTGTATAACGTTTTTCAAAACCAATCTGAACCATAGTTTTTTAATGAGATACAGTGTCTGAATGTGTATTTGGATACATTGATGTAGAAGCACTTAGTAAGATGTGAAAATGTTTGTTACCTTGAATTTCTGAAACTTATATAACTTAGACTGTGTGAGATATTTCATCTCTGGTCCTGGTGGAAAACTGCTGTGTTAGGGGCTAATGGACACCAGCAGAATTTATATGTGCATTGAATATGTCTGTTGTTTATATTTTTACCACATTGTTGAGTCTTTGAATTTCATTTTATGCCAATTTAAAATATGAGAGTTCCTTCTTTTATTTTTTTTTTTGAGAAACTTTGATGCCTACTCAGTGTTACATTAAAAATAAACATACAAAACCACCTTGTTTTGGCATAAGAGGAACCTGCATTGCAGTGCTTGTGAGATTAATGTGGCCTTTGAATCTAGCATTTTGACTACTGTAAAAAGGAGCAGTAGTTGCATATTTAGGTAGAAATGGGCTAATTGTTTGGATCCTAAGTATAATGTATGTTTGTTTTTTCTTCCTCAGGTATATTGTTGACTTCTTCCTAGTGATAACACAACTGGGATTTTGTAGCGTTTATGTTGTGTTTTTGGCAGAAAATGTGAAACAAGTGAGTAATGTTACTCTATGGAAACAGTTATGGTTTTAGATTAATTTTTCCTCAGTTTTATTTCCTATCCTTATAAAGTCCAACAGAACTACTTCTAAAATGTGAAGTTGAGAGATGCACAGAATGGGTTCTACCACAGTTTCTGCAAAAGAAGTTTTGGTAAAAAGGAGCAATGTGCAAGGTGAACTCAATTCAGATCTTGTGCAAGTGTTGGTGACTTCATTGCCCTCTGATTTGTTTATTGAATTTAAAGATTAATTGTGGAAATGACAGAAAATAAAGCAGAAACTGATCTAGGAGCCAGTTGTCCCTGATTTTCCTTTTTTTTCTTTTTTTTTTTTTTTTTATTTTTTGACATGCCTTCTGCTGACTTCCTTTTTTCCCCCCTGACCTCTTGGGTCTTCATGTCACTGGAATCTTTCTTTGTTTGCTGTTTAGTCTCTTCCCTTTTCTAGAATGGTCTTAAATGCCACAGAATACATTGTATCTAAACCAATCCTGATTTTTGTTGCAAAAAATGCCTGACATTGAAATTTCTGCAGCTTCCTCAGTAGTCAGTTCCAATGCTTTCTCGTCTGTTAGACAGCTTCTTCTTTGTAGAAGCTTAAAATGTCTTATTGGCAATCTAAGTCCTTTATTTCATGTTCTAGCTATAACTAATTTATTCTTTTCTATTTGTGGAAACCTTTTATATTTTTGAATATAAATAATATATATGTATAATCTAATAACTTCTTGCTTTTCTGTGAATGCTCTACAGTTGGTCACATCTCTCTTTTTTTTCCAAGTTTTATCCCTGAAGTTGGCTTTGATACTCTAGTTGAAGTTTTGCCTGTGGCCAATAGAGCTGAAGGGTTATTTTACAGGTCTTACAGATTGTATTCTAGACTTGACACTTCAGTATAGTGCTCAGTTTGCAGGAGCATATCATTGCTAATTCATGACTGACTTGTGATCCACTGTGATCTCTCGATCCTTCACTGCAGAGCTACATTCTAGGCAATTCTTCTGGTTCTCTCTATACAGATGGATTCTGCTTACCTATAGAATCCTTTATTTTTCCTTATTGGATTGATTTTTAACCATTCTTAAGGTTGAATTTTCATCCCGTTCTTCAATATTTCACTTTCCATGTGGAATAGATGTTTAAACCCTGCTTAGTACATCATCTGTGTTATTAGTGAAGATATTAAATAGCACTTCTCATGCAGCATTTAATGTGTTTTACTGTAAATACAATCACACACATAATATGTAGGATTAAACATATGCAAACACATTTCAATATGCTACAGATTTTTAAATAGATTGGATGTTATTAGAAAGACTGTGATTCATTTTTGTGAGTTGATTTATTTAAGAATGTCTAAAAATAAAATATTTTGTCATGCCATATTTATGAAAAAGTCAATTAAAAATTTCAAATGGATCCCCACAACCACAAATGCCTATATGCCTCCCAAGCAACCCCTTTCTGTAAAATCCAACTGTCCCTCTTCTCCCTCCCAACCATCCGTCGCAGACAAAAGCAAACAAAACCATGCCTGTCACTTTAATGATGACTGCTCCTACTTTCATTCACTTGTTTTGTCTCTCATTCTTCAGTCCTTCTAAGCTCTTATTTTTCTCATTAGTAGAGATTTTTCTGTTGATGGGGTCTCTGATGTCTGTTGGTCCTTCCTCTTTGCACGCTCAGCAGTCTGTGTGGCTGAGCAGGTGGGCCATGGGAGGTCAGCCAGGACTGGTTGCACTGGTTGGCTCTTTGGACAGGAGCCACAGGCACTTTGAGCGTGTGGTGCTCTCTCCTCCATGGGTTTATTAAGGACTCCACCAATGTCTTCTGCTGTGTTTTCTGCTCATAAGATTATGGTTAGTCACTTAACATAAAGCTAATGAGAATGAATCTGAGCCTGTATCTAAACATGTGCTTCTGTAATTAGTGAAGTTGATGGGGAAAAGGTATGGCAGGTTACTGAGCTTTAACTGTCCATATGGACTCTTATTGTACCCAAAAGGTAGAATAAAGGTGTCCTTGGCATAGCTTAACTCACTTTAATAAGGAAGAAGAGTGTCCCCTTGGGCAGTTAGTACATAGAAGATAGTATGGTTTTTTCCTCCCCCTGTAGATGAGTATTTATATTTTGTTTTAAAAGTATTCCAAGTTCTATGGATGAAGATCCTGTGAAGATGAGGCAAGTTTCTGTATGTGGAAGCTGGATACTCTTTAATTTGCATTTTGGGAGAGAAAAAAAAAAACCCCAGCCTTAAAAACTACAGTGCCACTGATCTCAGTACCTGAAAATCCTATTTTGTGTCTGATGTCCTTTTGCTGCCTTCCAAAGTTGGGATTTTTATTGCATCTTTTGTAATGTAAGTTGGAATCGAAACCTTTCCTATCAACTGCATATCTGATCAACCAGTTTTGACCTTAAGCAAAAGACAAGACTGAACACTTATTGACTTACTGATTTTAAAAAAACCTGAAACCTTTACAGGAAACCTGTTGCTGCTTTCCTGTAAAGAGTTGAAAGATCTTGTAGAAGAGCAACCTCTGAAAAAGCAGTGACTGCAGAGACACATGACATGTAACCCGTGAATGAATTAAAGTCATCAGCAGTTCAGAGGTCCCACTTGGAAGTGTATTTGATTTAGATTGCTCTGTGCTCTTTCTTTTGGGAGGGACAAGGCTGTGGTTTCTTTCTGGTGACTTTCTGTTGCAGAAATCTGTCCCGTAGAGGGCACCAAAGAACACAAATTGCTACTGCTTTAAATCTCCATTATTTGGGGTAGTGGAAGGGTGAGACAGGTGGACAGGTGAACAGAAGGAATGGAGAACTAAGATAAAGGAAAAACGTAGTAAAAATGTTACTAATACCACTCCTTGACCAATGCCTCTGCGTCATGCTCCATACTTTTATTATGTTTGTATGTTGGTTTGTGCAAACTAACAGCCCACTAGAACCAGTGGGAACATCCACTGAGATGTTTTATTTGGTATTCCTGGTTAAAACTAGTACCAAACCAAACTTAATAGTCTCTTCCTTCACCTTATTTACTATTTCGCAGAACAAAAAAGCAACAAAGCACTTTGGAGTGGTTCTGGAATGTTAATCCAGTATTCATTGGTCCACATTATTTTGAGGTGAATATTTAGTTAGACACAGTGATGCATGTGAGTCTAAATATTTGTTTAATCTTTTAAATTCTGTGAAATGTTTGATATACCCTTCACCCTAATGGGCATGCAGTATAGCTTCTTGTGCTAAATCTTTTCTCATTAGTGTCTGTGGGATTATAACGTCAGCTGCATTATGTTAGTGTTTTCCAGACTCTTTGTGGTACAAGACCCTACTTGCAGTTATATCAAATTTCAAATTAAGCTTTTCCTAAGGAATATTTTGCTGGTGCACCAAAGAAACTCAGATTGGTGGCGAGTGTTCTGGTTAAGTCTGGCAGCATATGAACAAGGGGCTTACAGGTTAAGGTGTCTGGAATTGGAGAAGAATGGTGAAACTGGAACAGGCAGCTGGAGGTTGACTGGAGCAGGAACACACTGGGGTAGTAAAAAGAATCTGTACCCAAAAGAGCATGGTCCCCTTTCATGCCATAGTTACTTTTCTTTTCTTGCTTGAGTAACAGAAGACGTTAAGCCAGGAGTATTGCCATTTATCAACTTGCTTGTGAATATTTGCTGAGTTCTCTGGAAAAGAGTCCTTTTCTCATTGGTTGCTGCTAAAGCTAAAAAAAGGAAAACCTGTTCTTGCTGTGTGGGAGCACTTCATTGGATTTTTAGTGGGATGCTGCGTAATGGATTTTTCATTTTTTATCCTTTAATTTTTGTAAAAAGGAAAAAAAACCCCACCAAACCCCAAAAAACTTAAGAAATTGTACTTAGACATAAAATTAGATGTGTTAAAAATGTTGCAAAGTTGAATACTGAGTAATAATGAAATACCAGAACTAAATGAACCATGAAACATTTCTTCAGCCTTTTCATGCCAAATTATAGGATTACAATATAGTTTTTATCTGCCTGATAACATGCTGGTTTTGTGCCAGATCTGACCTCATCTGTGGTACTGGTTGTTGCTCCCGGTTGAATAAGGAAGGCGTTAGAAGAAACCGATGAGCTCAAAGACTACTGCTTTGATCCCCCTAGATGTGGAAAAGTCCATAGACTGTATGACAGAAGGAGCAGGTTTTGAGATACAGGCAAGGAATCAGTGCTCTCAGTTGAAGAGACTTAAGAGATAGTTCTGAGATAGTTCTTCTAAGACGCATGTTCCTCAGTTGAACTGAATTTTCTGCAGTCACTAATGGTGAATTAGTCATTTTCTGGGTGCCCGACATCAGGAATATGATAACCAGATTTGCACAAGTGTTTGATCCTCATGGAGGCAGCTGCAGTTGGTGGATGCTGTACTTGGGCTGTGTAAATGAGACATTAGGTGAAGCACTCCTGTAAAGAAAGCTGTTTCAGACATCACGCCATCAAGTAGGTTAATGCTTGAATAACTGAAGTGGCTTCTGATGAAGTCACCTTGTGACTGAGGACATCATGAGCCTTCATAGTCACTATGCCTAGTGATATAGATACTTACTCATGTGGTGTAAGGAAGTGTTTGTGGAACTCCTAGGTACCGTCACAATAAGCATAGAACAAAATGCAGGTATGTGTGTTCAGATTGAAAGTTGAACAATGTTCACTGGGCTTTGTGTCATATACAAAAGAATATGTATGTATGCCCTTTTCAAGAACAGATCCATTGGATGGATAAGTGAAAAGATTTGTCTAAATTGACTGATATTCCAGTGATATTTCAGATTATGTTGCTTTGTTTAGGAAGAAGACAGTTAGATACCATGTCTACCGTTCTTGGCCCAGCATGACTGCCATATGCAGTGATGCACAAGCAGAGAGCAGCTGGAGATTGAGTGATTGTTGTCTAGAACAAGAATCTGAGATTATATTAATTCTAATATTTAGGAAACTAGGTTAGACAGATAGGGAGTCATAGTCTGTCCTAACACAATGAGCAGTAAACTTGCACTGAGCTAAACAGTATATGAGAGAGTGTTGGGGTTTGTTTGGTTTGGTTGGTTTTTGTTTGTTTTTTTTTTAAAAAAAGTCCTCCAGCAGCTTTGTGTTTTGTTACTTGTTAGAACAATTTTAAGTGTTATCTGATTATTTATTTTAGAAAATCTAGTGAAACACTTTCAAAGTGACAGTAATGTTAGCCTGCATCTGAACAAATCATTATAATCTCATCTTCATTAGAGTTTTCCTCTGCTGCTCTTACTGTCAAATCTCCTGCAGCCAATTGTTTCCTTCCTCTGGTGAATACTGGGGCAAGGATGGGTGTGTGGAAAAAGAATGGTTACCATGCCTATAGTATTGTAAAGCAGACTACAGTGTTGTGGTTTATTGGAGGAACATAACTCGTATCTGAAACGTGCAAGTGGGAGGTGGGAAGCTGGGATCAGTGAGTCACAGTCTGATAACTTTAGTTGGCTGTGTTTTGCTGATTCTGCAATATTGATTAATCTGATGATGGTTGTGGAGAGTTTATGTTCTGTGCTTTCCTCGTATTTTTGTGAAAATAAAAGACGGATAATGATAAAGGTTATTTCATATGCCCACCCTTGCCTAACACAACGTGCAGGTGTGATCTGATCTGAAGCCCATCATAGGGGTAGCTAATCACGATAGACCTAATCTTGAATAAAATGGTATAGAATATTGTATACTACATTTTCCAGCCATATTAGCCAGTAAACTGCAGTTGAGTGTCTCATTGGAATTGTTAATAAAAAAAAAATAAAATTCTGATTTTTAGGAACTTTTTATTGGGTTTTATGTATAAAAATAGAATGTCTTTGTCTTAAGAGAAAACTGAAGTGATTGAATGCTTGAAATGATCTGAGTAGAAGCTGGTTTATACGGTGGTATTTTAAAAATGTATTTTAGAAGCTGAACTGTATGTCTGCAGTTATTTTTTTATCTATAATTTATTTTTTTTAAATAGCTTATCAAGCTTACAGACATTTATATAAATTGAGGGCACATTAGGTTAAGTATCTATTGTAGCTGAGGTTTTCAATGGGTCCTATGTGCTCAAATTACATTGTAGTTCCTAGAAAACTCTCTTATGTGTCTTTGTGTGCAGAGCAGCTCTGGCTACCTGAAAATGCATGCAAATAGGTGAACACATGAGACTTGTTAAAGTGGAAGGCTATTAAAGTGCTTGCTGTATATTTTAAGTGTGGTGGGAAAGCAGGAAACTTGTACAGAGAGCTTTACTTCATGTAGCATTAGGAAGTAATTTGGTTAAGTGTCTGACACATTGCTTGGCAAAGTGGAGTTATTGTAGCTTTGTGAATTCACTGGAATTCAGTTTTAAATGTATTTAACTCTTTGTAGCTGTCTAAAAACAGTATCTTAATGAAAACTAACAGATGTTAAATGTCTTGCAAGTGACACTTAGGATTCTTGCAAGGAGGAGATGGTCAGTGTTTCTGTAATGACTGGTGTCCTGTTTTCATTTAAATCAAGATTTCTGGAAAATGTGGTTGCAGAATTGTAGCTTTTATCTTTCCCTTTTTCACGATGAAAAAAATCTTTCTAGTGCTTTTTCTTACAAAGAAAATAATTTTAAATTATGTCTTTCTGAGTTTGTATATTGTTTGATACAATGGAAATAAAGTAAATTGTGCAGTTTTTTTCTCCTGAACTTGTACAGTCTGAGTTTTGTCAGACTTTCCAACCTGAATGACATGATTTACATTCACTTGGTTTTACATTATCAGTTAACTCCCTCTGCCTTATGTGAGTCTCACAGTCCCAGTGATCCCTTAATTGCCTACCATATCTCTAGCCTGTCCTCTTTCTGCCCTTCATACATTTCCTCAAGGTAAAAAATTAATAGCCTTGAGTTACTGTGACCTATAAAGTAGATGCCATTAAGTACTGGTAATGATGGTGTTTGCTTAGGACTGCCATGGCTACATATAAACTGATAATGTAATATTAATACTTGACCTTTTTATGGTAACAGCTTAACATTTTTGGATTTTTGAGGCAGAATCTATGATCTTACTAGTTCACTTGCACAGTTAACAACTGATATTTTAAAGAGCAAACCATGTTGAAAGAATTACCCATAAATTAGTCAGTCTTGGGACAAGGCCTGTGAACTATGTGATATGGATAATAATATTTAAGCGTTGCTACACCTGTACAGTTCCTAGGATTGTAGGGTTATACAGTCTTCCTCTGAGTTCAGTTCTTCATTAAGTTTAAGACTATGGCTTTAGTAGCTGGTTGTCTGACAGTACTTAGGAGTCAGAGTCTTGTCTTCAGTTGTTTTGTTATATATTTATTTCCCATTTTTGCTGAAGTCTCTGTGCTAGAAGGAACTAATTTTTTTTTACTAAGTATCTTTTCATATTCTTCAGGCTGCAGGCGTTCTGCAGCATGAACTGATTAAGGACAGCCATATGCTGATTTGTAAGACAGCGAATGCAATGGAAGGGGAAAGGGAAGGATACACTCCTAGGGAAAAGGCATGATAGGATTTAAAACAAATGGATTTGAACTGTTATCATTTTGGAGCAAACAGAATAACCGTGAGCTCTTGCTGTTTTGATCGTGGTATGTATGTAGTGCAGAGTATGTTTCCACAAAACTAATTTTGGCAATTATAGCCCAATTAATGTTTTTCCAAAGTATGCAGTGAGAGTTGTGAATAGTCCCAAACTGAATTGCACCATAAGCGATTATTGTAATATTATATACAAGAAACCTAATACACTTTCACATTGTGTACTGCTGTTTATCTATAGGCATGAGTTTATCTGTTTATTGGATACAGGACTCTCAACTCTCTCAGAGCTCTTTTTTTTTTTTATTGTTGGTTAATAAAGAAGTGAAGTTAAGCAAAACTAAAATAATTTGAATTAAAATAAAGACAGGCAGATTCATATTCCAACATTATTTTGTATGTGTGCTGCTGTGATGTGGATGGAAAAGGCATAAGGTTATTAGGCACTGAACTCAAGTACAACAGCAGTTGGTCATCTAACCCCCTTAATCACCTTACAAAAATTCAAACACTAGTATTTAGGCCTGGGTCCATCTTGCTTGCATTCGTTTTACTGAACTCTCCCTTTCTGAAAGGAATATGATCTAAACTGCTCATGTGGATTTCCTCTTTAGTCAGTGGTGGGATGAGGTGAGATCAGGTCTTTGAGTTCCTGATTTCGTCATTTGTTTTAAGGATGAAACACTTGCTTGAAGTTCCTTGTCTTTCCCTCTGCACTGAGAGTACAGGGATCCTGCAGCAGGTAAAGCAGAGGGACAAATTCCCCTGTGGAAAAAAGCGATGTGACCATATACAGAGACTCAGTGCTACCACTGTTTAACATTTTGTTTGTTTGTTTGTTTTCTACAGGTCCATGAAGGATTCTTGGAAAACAAGACTGCTCCCATAAATGTCAGTGCCACTGGCAGTCCTTCTGAGAAAAGGAGTACTGATTTACGAATATACATGCTGTGTTTCCTGCCATTTATGATTCTCCTGGTCTTTATTCGTGACCTTAAGAGCCTGTCCTTCCTTTCATTGCTTGCCAATCTGTCCATGGCTGTCAGCCTGGTGATCATTTACCAGTATATTGTTAGAGTGAGTATAAAAAAGTTTATTTTTTTTTTTTTCTCCAATGTGGCAAGTAGTATTTGTTGCATGTGGCAGTTGTTCTCTGATAGGTATATACTGTCTGACAATTTCTGAAAGGCAGAATGTTCTTATATTTAATTGAGGCATCTTAATTTAAGGAGGTGCCTTGATACTTGAGACATGCTTTAAACATGGACTTCTACACTACTTTTAAAAGAAAGGATAATATTGCTGCACTTAAGATAATAAAAATATGTATTGTAATGACTTGGAGTCCTTGAGTAGAAGAATATGTGAATTTTTGTTGGTTGCACACAGAACTTACAAGGTTTTAATCTGTGGTCAGTTGTCTTGTGACAGAAAAACAGTTTCAACAACAGTGTTTATTTCTGGTGTTTCTTCAGTACAGTCGGGAAAAAATTCTTACTCTTTAAGAATACACATTGCAGACTTCCATCTCCTGAGAAGTTGATTAGTTGCTGCATTTTCTGGGTTGCTGTTTTCATATTTGGAGGCATTTCATAATGGAACAAATTAAACTGAAGGTTAAAAAAAAAATCACATCTAGAAACTTCTACATTTTTCTTCCTTACAATTTTTGAAAACTATTAAGTGGTAGACACTGTTGCACACACGGTGTAGATAAGTGGTGAGTACCACTATTGCTTGAGAAAGCTTTAACGTGAGTGTTATGAGACAAGTGGGAAGCAGAGGATGGGGAGGAAGGCAGAAAAGCCACCGAGACATATTGGCTGGGTGAGGAGGCAGAAGAAATTACATAGAAGACATTGGGGAAAATGGAGAGTAATTAATTGTTCTGCAGGAGCTCAGCTTGTACTGAAAAGATTTTCTTTCACTGTCCCTTATGATAATGAAGAATAGATGTGCAGTATGAAAGCAGATTAGAAAATGCAATACTCTGAGAAGAGCATAAGTTTGCAGAAGGTTAAGCTTGAGGTGTGAGCTTTCCCTTTTAATTGATACTTGCTCATATAAACCAGTGTGATACTTTAAATGTGAAAATTTCTAGTGTCAGTAGTATGAACCTAGAATAAATATATCTGCAAGTGTCTATGTATGGGTGGGAAAGTGGCTGTAACTATAAAGGACGAAATTTAGGAGGAAAACCAGGGATTGTAAATAGCAATATATACACCGCGGTCAACGTGTACTGAGTGTTCTTTCCTGTGGCATAACTCATTAATCAAAATTGTAGGAAAACTTTACATAACACTGTTTTGCTTTGTTTTCTTCAGGATATAGTAGATCCTCGAAAACTGCCTCCTGTGGTTGGCTGGAAGAAATACCCACTGTTTTTTGGGACTGCAATATTTGCTTTTGAAGGAATCGGTGTGGTAAGTGCTTTTTACTGACTCTTCAAGATACCTGAATCTGTGCTGGATGATGGGATACAGGCAGTTTTACTGCTGTTGTTATTTTGTTGTTTTTGTTCAAGCATAATCGCCCATGTTGATATGAAAAGGGTTAATTTATCTTGTCAAATAAGGCAAAAGTTGAGAACACAACATCCTCATCAAAGGGGAGTTGGGTGAATACCAATTACTACTTGGACACTCAGCACCTTCCCAAAGTACAGGAATGCACTTAGTTCTGAATAGGTTGAGTCAACAGTATAATAACTTGTATCATAATAGGCTATATAATGTAATACTCAGCTAATAATATGATGATACCATAATTATAATGATTCAGCAGCTCAGTTTTAGGGGGTGTATAAAAATAGAAACATATTCAGCATCCTTGTTTTCCTTTGGGATCACAGAGGACAAAGTGATTTGTTAGAAATGCGTTATTCTTCCTGCTTCAAACTTCTCTGTAGATGTGACTTGATAGCGATGGAGATGATAAGAAAAAGGATAGAAATCTCAAAATATATTTTTTGATTTATGGCCTTTGTCAATTACTCCACAGCCTTCTGACAGTGAACCTCAGTTCCTCATTATTTCCTGAAATATGTCAATTAAATAGATTTATAGTTCTAAAAATGTGTTTTTTAAAGGTGAATCTTTTAAAATCTCAATTATTACTGTTTCAAAGGGCTTTCTGATTGCATCTCACACTACCAAAGTTGCAGGTTACTTAGCACTTTTGTTCCATGTGGCATATTTTAAATAAATAGCCAAAGTAGCTTCTGGGAACGGTAAGTCGTAATGTCTTTAAACTGTTGGGAAATTACTATATATACTTTATTTGTTACTAATATAATCACATACTTCAGCAAGTGTTACTGTATGCTTAAAACAAACAAAAAACCCCCTAAAAACCAAACAAACAATACCCCCACCCTCCAAAAAACCCCCAATCAAACCAACCCTAAACCAGCATGCAGTTAATCTGAAATGATTGTCATTGACATAACACAAGAGAGTTTTCAAATCTTTTATTTTCTGTAACTGTCAGCACTGCATTAAACCAGAATATTTTGCCTTGATGCTGTATTATCACTGCCAGAAAAGCTGAATAGGAAAAACTTTTAACTCCTGTTGTGTTACAAAAGTGTGTTTTCACACACGGGATATGTGGATCTAGTGACTGTGAGTCTCCATTTCTCCAGCTTCTCCACTGTTTCTCAAACTGTGAACTCACTGATGCAGAGGTTTAACTGCCATGTACCTGAGGGTATCTGGACACTTTTCTTTTTGTAATCTGGAAGTTCTGTCATAGGAAATGAGCCATTTGTCTGGGATTGTCTGTTATTTACAGGTCTTGGGCAAAAAAAACCCTGCTCAGTGAATCAGAGAGGTTGGGCTTTACTAAGCTTGTTGCTCTTAAATTGTATAGTCCGTCTGGGACGGACTGCACTTACTGTACGTGGGTGAATGCAAGTCATGTGCAGAAGGTCTGATACATATCCCAGCTGTATTAAATTTGTTGCTCATGTGCTACATAGCATGTTATGCGTATTTGTAGCCAGGAAATCCCAAATGAGGGTCCTGTGAGCCTCAGGAAAGTGTGGAAGGCTTACCATTTGGTAGCAGTAGTTTATTGAATTATAGGTAGGGATTTGATTTTTGCTGGTTATTTTCTAGCATAGTAGTTCCCACAATAGACAGCTCCTTAACTTTACATCAGCAGTAGTAACATTGACTTATGATGTAAACCCTTGAAGAACTCTCTAGAGTATTGTGCTTGATTGAATCCCTGGTTGTTACTAATCACATCTTTAAGAGCTCCAAGCTTTTTTCCTTCTTTTATCCAAGAGCATATAATGTAGGATTAATTTGAATTGTACCTTTAAAACATAAAAATACTGCTTAATATTATTAGATATTAGCATTACACGGTTATTGCATGTATTTCTGTATAGGCCATCTCAATTTCTTACTTGATCATAATTTACTTACACTTCAAGGTGAATGAAGAGTGCCTTTTATTACTTTCACTTTGTTACTGGTGTTTACAAACTCATTAAATGTTTATGTTCATTATGGTTTGATATACTTTGCGTATGTACATTTGTCCTGGATTTGACTCAGATAGAGTTAATTTTCACAAGAAGCTGGGAGGGGACACAGCTGGGATAGCTGACCTGAAGTAGCCAAGGGGATATTTCATACCATATGACATCATGCTCAGTAGATAAACCGGGGGAGTTGGAGAGGGGAACGGGGGCTTGTAGCTCTGGGACAGGCTGGGCATCAGGTTCTGGGTGGTGAGCAATTGCATTGTGCATCACTCACTTCCTATGTTCTTTTGTTAGTGTTATTGTTATTTCTTCTTTCCTTGTGTTGTTCTATTAAACTGCCCTTATCTCAACCCATGAGTTTTACCTTTTTCTTCCAAACCTCCTCCCCATGCCACCAGTGGGGAGGAGGGAACAAGCGGCCGTGTGGTGCTTAGTAGCTGGCTGGGCCTAAACCATGACATTACACAAGACCATTAAAGTAATGTGGCTACATTTACAGATTAAAATTAATGTAAAAGTGAAAATCTAGAGCTTAATGTTTCTTCCTTATAAGCAGAATGATATTGAGTATGTCTCTGCTTCTCAGGAGTATTTTGAACATGCAGAATGTTTGCTGTGCATTCTTACCCTGTAGTTGAATGTACCATAGAGAAGATTTGAAGAAAAAAATCATTTTATGGATTTGAATAATCAGAACTAAACAAAGGTGTTGAAGCATGAAATAAATCAGTGAAGCAAAGCGAGACAGGCATTTCCACTTTACATAGTTAATGTTTCCTACAATTCTTGGTGATTGATTCAATTGATAACCAGTTATTACAGCTCAGTACTGTATGTGTGTTTGTGACCTCTTGAAAATGTGAAGTGGAACACGTTAGTTTAAAATTCTTTCATTGAGATGTGAGCTAGTGTATTTTAATTCACATTACAATGAATTAAGAACATTTACATAGTCAAATATATAGTGTTGTATAGCTGATGTGTGATAACTTTTTACCCTGTGTCTTGTTTTACTGTTTTTCCTGTATCCATGTGGTTGAATTGTTCTGGTCAGGAAAAAACCCCACCATTCAACTAGATTGGCTCCTTAGTCTGCTCTCTCCGACTGCTGGCACTCGAAATGGATTTACCTAATCTTGGTCTTGTTGTTAGAGACTTGATTTTAGATTTTATTCTGGAATGTCTTGCAAATAACACTTATTACTGTGAAGCTATACATTGCATTATAAATGTAAGCCTTAAGGTCTTAATTTTATCAGAAAAGTTAATTATGGTTGATTCATTTTATGCAATAAGTTGTCCTTTAACAGTTATGAGGCCTCATTTTTACTCTTCCTTGATTTCAGACATACATTATGCTAATTCTCATCTAAGAGATGCCAGATTATTCAATGTTATGAACAGGGACAGCAAATGAAATTCATAGGTGTTTTTGGGCTGGTTAAGTCGTCTTAAGCAGAACCTGACAAACAAGGAAAAATGTCCTTAGTGTGTTTTTTTTTTACCACCATTGTTCTATGTAAAAAATGGTCTTTCCTGCTATGAGTATTTAATGATCAACAATTTGAGTACAGGCATAAATGATCTATAGGGCACAGTATAAAACAGTACACCTTAGCCATAGCAGTCAGGAGGATTTATTTTCAAAAGTACTTAATTGATTGTGTTTTTATTAACAGAGGAGTGGCTAATGTAGACACAAAATAATTGGCAGTTCAAAATGCCGTGCTCAGGGTGGAAACATGTTTGTCTGGTTTCTTTGAACCAAATAATAGACTACCGGGGAAATATTCTTGCACTGATTTTTTTTCCCATCCCATTGTTCCAAAACACTTTTTATATATTTTATATTTAGTTTAGCACTTGTTATCACTTAAAGTAGTTCTTCAGTAACTCTATTAAAATTAGTGAGACTGAACAGAGGAGTCTAGTCCTATTCACTATGGGGAACATGATTCAGGGAGGTGCAGTGATTCAACACATTCCTAGTAGGATTTTCTTCTTGATCTTGAGAGAGCGTATTTCTCTTTTAGATGGTGAGTGTACAAACATTGATTTGGTTAAAATCTGTTATTAGTTTAGGACTGATGAGCTATCCCTGTGTAATAAGAAAATCAGTAGTATGGAAGTAATTTGGAGTATTGTTACTTTGGGCATAGATGATCCCTAGATAAAAAGACTTTAACAACCATAATTTTACTGACTTTTTTCTATAATAACTCAAAGGATGAAGGGTAGCCTGTTTGTAATTGAAATATACAATCTCAGATAAACCAAGGCAGTGCCTAGAAACTAGTACTCATGTAATACTAATAGCTAAAGATGTCATCAGCCAGTGTTATAAAACTATTTTGAGATATTTTCAAATAAGGTTGGTACTATCAAAAGGCTGATCAGTGTGTGCTGAACTCTAAGTGATACTTGTAACAGGATTAGAAAGTGCTGCGGTCAGTTTCTTGTGCTATTCATTTGTTTGCTCCCTATTTGAGTTCATAGAATCATAGAATGGTTTGGATTGGAAGGGACCTTAAAGATCATCTAGTTCCAATCCCCCTGCCATCAGCAGGGACACCTTCCACTAGATCAGGTTGCTCAAAGGGATCACTGTTGATTACTATGAGGTACCTGCTGCAAATTGTGAATGTCTTGGCAGCCAGGTGGTAATCATTGCTGTGTGCTAACAGGAGGAGTTGGCAGCAGGGGTACCCAGTGATCCTCTAATATGGAGTTAGCAAACAGCAACTGAGACATCAGTACTGTCAGTCTGGTGGTTACTATTCATAGTGTTGAGAGTTAGTTTGGGATTTCAACACTGGTAAGTTAAGATCTTAAGATCATCAGGGTGACTTTGTGAAAATCGTATTGACTATTGGCATCTGTCAGTTTGTGGAACAGTAGTAGCAACAGAAGTGCAGTCCTCTTAAGTGG